CACCATAGACTGTCATTTAAATTGGAAATCTCATATTGAAAAAATAAACAAAACAATCTCTAGCTACAGTTACGCATTATCCATATTAGCAGAAACAACCTCCGTTGATGTATCAAGTGCTGCATATTTCGGCCAGGTATAGTATAGTATCGGCCTTCTATTAGTTTACGGTATTATTTTCTGGGGTAATTCTACAAACGTGCAGTCAACATTTTTATTCTGCAAAAGCGATGTCTGCGGATCATTTATAATATGTACTCAGATGATACTCTAAGAAATGTATTCGAAGAAAAAGGCATTTTCACTCTCACTAATATTTATATTTTAGAAATATCACTTTTTATCAAACAGAATGGCAACTATTTTCAGATTAAATCTAAAGGGAATTCACGTCCAATACGCACTAAATATAAGCGTAATTTATGTACACCTACAACAAATAATTATATGTATTATAAGAGCAATTTTGCATAGGTATTAAAATATTTAATCATCTGCCACCTCATATAAAAGCCATGGACTTGCCAAAATTTAATATACAACTAAAAAATGGTTAATACATAAAGTTTTTTTATAATTTAGATGAATATTTTAATACCAAATAATTACCGATATGGGTAAACCGTGTAACGTTTAATTGCAATGTCTCCCGCAAATTGTACATACACAGTTTATTGGCAATAAAAATATTCTGATTCTGATTCCGATAAACGATCCATCTCCGTAGCTATATTTAAGATATTTTCTCTTTGTAATAAACTTCTGACATTCCACGTACTTACTCAACATTTTTGGTTTTCCGCCCGGGGATTCTTAGCGCCCCTGTTCTATTTAAGGACCGCCAGGCAATCGGTGTCATCACTGTTGTTTGCCTCTCCATTTTTAGTGTTTTAGTCAAGGATGACTAACTAAGGAATAATAATAATGATGGTAGTTTCCTCTTGTTTTCCATCATCGCAGTTATCAGCCGTACCATTGTTTCAACTCCGCCTGATATTAAATTCAATAGAACCGTTTTCGATATCATTCATCTTGCGCTCCTATTAATAATATCGGTGCTGCTGCCCATCGACAACCCAGGGTGAAATCTCCTCCGCCAATTCGACCGTACACCATGACAGCGGAGAGAAAAGGTCTTGGCCTTTTCTCTCCGCTGTCATTGCCGTTGGACTTCACTCGTAAGTGCCCACCCACGCGACGTGGATGCGCCAGACAGGTGTTGCCCAAGTGGAATTAAAGAGTGTGACTCTAATTCCTATGGGTCGGGTTAATGATTGTGTTTGAGGCCACAACCAAATCATACACACGAGCAAATACCAGTCGATGATATAAATGAGTTTTTCATAAATAAAAAATCTTTATTTCAGGCATATTGCACCCGTATAAATTACATACAAAAAATACAATAGAGTTCAGAATTACTAAAAATTAAAAAAAATTATTATATTGTAATAATATTTAAGTCTAAATGGAGGGAACCATTACGTCAAACAGCTATCTTAAGCCATTTTTGATAAAAGGCTGTGGCTGGCAGTCTTACCGCAAACTCACTAATTATCTTGTTTCTACACTCACCAACCTTGGACATGAATAATGCGATTCTGAATCTTTGAATGACATTAAACGTAGGTATTAATTCGTACTTCGGCAAATATGCCTGAAGCACTGCAATAGCGTTTGAGACCCATAAGCATTCTAAAGATGTTATTATAATGCACACGAATACCATTCAGAGATCGCCCCGCATACTCAGTCCAGCGCTGACAGGTGGAGAAACGACAAACGAAACGAAACTGACAGTAAGTTTGGAAGAGCATAGTCTTAACCTCCTTAGAGGCTTTAACAAACCTCCTGGCAATTATATTGCCACAGACAGACAAAGCTCTTCTCTGTCGTTCTATATCGCAGTTATCTTTTCTGTTCGCTGTCACTATGTGATCGAGGTATTTGAACGCTTGAACTATTTTAACGGGTAGACCCGCCACGTGCGCTTCAGGTACATTAGTTGGGCCCTTACCCGCCTTAAAAATCACCATCTCCGTGTTTTTTCCGTTATAAATTAAATGATGATCGTTAGCAAATTTTTCGTATATAGATATTAATTTCCGCACACATTTGATTGTAGGACTGCGCAAAACCATATTGTCAGCGTAACTTAGGTTGTTAAAATACGAGTTACGTTACCAAGCCTAAGTCTGACTGGGGTTCTGCTCAGCTCCACGATCAAGTCATCCACATACATGTTAAAGAAGTCGGGTGAGGTAAGCTGCCCCCCTGCCTTACTCCACAAGTCAGGGTGTAGTCATCGGACAGAGAGTCACCCCATTTAACATTATTGATCTGTCTCTTATATAAATAAGTGAGCAGGTCAACAATATCAGCAGGAACGTTATTAGATCTTAACTTCTTCCATAGCCGATCATGATACAAAGTGTCGAAAGTGCGACTCAAATTAAGGAAGCAGGCATATACACTAGTATCGCGATCAACATAGTAATTTAATGATTTCTTATATTTACGCGAACACTACACATTGAAATAATACTAATTTTTACGGAATTTATCGCGTATATTTAACTTTTTTACCCGACGTTTCGAGAGCTTTACAGCACCCATGGTCACGGGAAGGACTGAGATGTTAAACGTCCAGCTGTCATAGTTAACCGCGGTTACCATAGATTAAAATTTAACTTTTGTTCCGATCTACACAGTATGAACTTATGGTATCATGGAGTCTTGCAGTTGTATGCTTGGGTTGGGATTTAATTTTATTTATTATAGGATCCCAAGAGCAGATGGTAGCACCCAGCCATCTTCTCTATTGAAATTAGGATGTTTTTTGATTTCAATAGCCTCGCGAATCATCCTTGGAAGGAATCGGTGTTCTTTAGCGAGGATTTGTGGTCTATCAAATCTGATGTAGTGACGGGGGCGATTCTGTACATGTTCACAGACTGCAGAATTCCCGGAGCGTCGATTCTTCACATCAGCTATATGTTTTTGACGCGGGTTTTAATTGATCTTTTAGTTTGTCCTATGTAGAAGAGACCACATTCACAATCAAGCTTGTACACTCCTGCATCTTACAGAGGGACGTTACACTTGACTGATGGTAAAAACTGACCAATCTTCTTCGGCGGCTTGAAGTATGTTTTGATGGAAGCGCGCTTCAAGATGTAGCCAATCTTGTCAGTGACTCCTCTAACATACGGCAGTACAGCAGGTACACGCTCGACTGTGGCCGGCTTCACTCGTTCTCTGTGACGTAGGCGCGGGACTCGAAGCTTGTTGTCATGCAAAACTTGCTTAAAAAAGACCCATACAGATAGATATTTAAACAGCGATTCTCACCACCATCCTTCACAGTCAGCTAAAGTAGGTAAATCTTTGTTCCAGAGAGTACGACGGATCTGTGACAGAAAACACCTGGCTGCCGAGCTCCAACATGTCAAGCAAGTCAGAGCAGTTTATTGAGGTGTATCTTGCTCCTTTTTCACGTCAAAATTAAAATTATTTTTAAAAAGGTTAGCTATATTTGTGTGATTCACCTCACCCTGGATATTAATAGGACGACCCGCTTTAGGATTTAACTTCTTGAACTCCTTCCGAAATTGTCCAAATTTTTTCGATTTTATATTTCGGGCCCATATATCTAACTTTTTCTTTTCTAGATGGTTTTGAATGAATTAAAGTGCGGATTTAAATTCCTTACGAGCCGAAGATATTTCAATATAATAATAACCAGAAGATGGTTTGCCAACAGCAACCCAGGCACTAAACTTTAATCTAGCCTTAACATGTAAATGCCTCACGTGATAGTTCCAATCAATCACAAATGGCTTTTTATCTCTTATTTGCCTATAACTATTCTCTGCACTAGTCTGTAATATCTTTATAAAATTATTATAAAATTTATTTATTGAATTATAATGGTCACAATTTTTACAAAATATATCACAGTTACGTATAATATTATCATTAAAAATTTGTCATTTCCAAATTTCCGCAGAGACTCTATTGCCCCATACTATCTTTGGCTTGTTACTAGTAAAATTAGTCACTTCTATAGGTATTGTACTAATAGTCCACTGAACAAGTAACGGAAATTGATCCGACGAGTAAACGTCATATAATACACACACACACACACTACTCACTGTGCTAGTGGCGGCCGCAGCCACGATGCAGTGCTTGAGCCATCGACATGTCCGGTGCACGGTTACAAATGTGCGCGTGTCGGATTCCTTACCTATAACATCGAAATCAACACAAATTAATGACTGATCATGACAGTAATTTAGTAGTTCGTTTGTGAAAAGTGAATCCGGGTGGGCATTGAAGTCACCTAGAACAAAAACTGATTCTTTATCCGCACTTTCTATCACTGCACTAATATTTCCTAAACGGGTTGTAAACTCAGCTAGGTTGTCCTCACAGTGCGTAAGCATATAAACACTCAGAACAAGCACGTGTCTATTTCCTTGGTTTAGCTTCACAGCACACATCTTGTTATAATATAGCAAGGTGTGACCTCCGCACTCGGAAATATTCGCTTATTCCATATAAGTGCTACACCTCCATAGGGTCTTCCGCAGATTAATCCTTCAGAAATATCAATTGCTGATACTCCACAGCATTCAAATTCTGAGTCTATAGTATTAGGAAAACCTAGATCGTGTGGTAACAACCAGGTTTCCTGGAGCGCCAGGAAGTGGTATTTCTTACACAACTCTCTTATTTGAACAAGAGTTCTTCTAACTGATTTACAGTTGAAGAAAATAAACGATATATCGTACTTATCCATATTATTGATTCCTTTTGATTCCGTCTTAAGTGTCGGAGCGAGTCGGTCGTTTAACTAATTACATTGTGCCGTGCGTATGTGTGAGTCTCGTGTAAAGCATCGGAGTTTAACGTTAATGCTGTATCGACATCACTCGAACGCATCGTTGGAGACTTCGCACAGATTAATTTCATAACAGAGCAGTCAAGTTATAAACATGACAACTGTAAACAGTACATTTACGCAAGAGTGTGAAACTGAACAAGATTTAAGACCCGGAGAAATGAGTGTCAACGAGTCATTTATTGAAAATGAATCACCTCCTTCTTATATAACATTTCAGAAAGGTAGTAGCGTGATTCCTGCAATTTCCAATCTACAACAAGAATTTAAAACTCTTCAAAGCAGTTTACTTAACAGGCTTGATTCCTGGTTCTCAATACAAGAAACAAAATTTAATAGCCTTCTTAATGACTTCGACGAAATTAAAACTACGCTGAAATTTATCAGTGATAAATACGATGATTTAGACAAAAGAACTCATGATGTCAGCAAGCGCGTATCTAGAATAGAATAGCAGCTGAAATCCACACCGGTCTTCGAGGCACAAATATCTGAATTAGAAACTAAACTGGCTGAATTTGAACAAAAATCTCGAAATTGTAATATTGAGGTAAGTAATCTGCCCGAAAAACGAAGTGAGAACTTAACACAAATACTGGAGAATATTGCTAAAGTCATAAAGCAACCAATTTCTACTAAAGACAATTCATCGTGTACCTCATATGAACCCTAAGATTTCACGCCCGAAGAACATAATTGTAAAATTTTTCAATCAAGCAACGCATGACAACTTTGTTTCTGCAGCAAGACTATCAAAAGGAATCACAACAGAGCAAATAAATATGCATGAAGCCGTTCAAAATATGTATATCAATGAGCACTTAACTATTCAAAGTAAGAATTTGTTTCGTCAGACTCGTGAAGCTACAAAACAGAACGGATATAGATTTGTGTGGATCAAGCGCGGAACTGTACTGGTTCGTGCAAGCGAAACATCTGCTATTTTTGCTATACGAAGGGTACAAGATATATTATCGAAAATTAAACCAAAGGATACCAAATGATGGAATACTTAGGATACTTGTGAACTTACAAAGGATGCTTACAAAGGATACTTGTGAAATAGTTATTAGTAATAGGTTTGTGCAAGCGAAACATCTGCTATTTATCCTGTACAAAGATAACAACATCAATTATCGAAAAGTAAACATAATGATATCACGTAACAAATTTAAAAATAATATGAATAAGGTACGTCTTCTTATAAGATTTATTTGCAAGCTCTTAGTGTTGCATTACTCTATGTCTTGTTTACGACTGGGACAATTCTTTTACCACATATATTTTTCTGCGGCCACCGTCACAATGACTATTTTGTTTTATTTTAATACATAGACATTTTAATACAATTCACGATTTACGTTTTCTAACAAACAACGTAATACAATTATTACCAACTAAATTACTTTTAAAAATCTTGTACACGAACAAATTTTTGTGATATATAGTTCCATATGTGTTTTATTTCGAATTTTACACTTTTTCATATTTTATTTTTTTAAATTATTACTAGTAATTCTTAAAACGTATACTATTTATAAAGATGGCTTATAAAATACAGGTATACTATCAGAATTGTAGAGGTTTGAGGACAAAGTTGAGTACTTTATTCAATAATATATTGTTGGAACATTATGATATAATAATTCTCACGGAAACATGGTTGACCTCGAATATTGCAGATAGTGAATTCATTGATTCGCGTTATGTAGTGTACCGATGCGATCGAAATCGAGAGTTATGTGGTAAAACAGACGGTGGAGGTGTATTGATTGCGGTGCGCATGGGGCTAAATGGCACTCGATGTATTTTAAAGCCCACTTTTCACTGTGAAGACGAAATTATAAATGTCCCATCTAATATTGATTATGTGATACTTAAGTTTTATTCTAAGCAACAAAACGAATATCACGCTGTTGGCGGTGTTTACATACCACCAAATCAACCCTTAACTGCTTACCAATTATTTTTAAACTCTCTCCAAAATGAGTTTACGTGCAACGAAAATACAAATATATATATTTTCGTGGACTTTAATCTACCCGACATTGAGTGGCTGCAGTATGACGGGAGTACATGTACTCCTAATACACATTACTGCAAAATTCCAATGTCTTTGCTCGTTTCAAATTTTTTATCAATTTTAGGTTGCAAACAATTTAATTTAATTAAAAATAATAAGAATCGCATCTTAGATCTTTTCATTTCAAACAATGATACAAGTACTTGTAAGTCACCACTAAACTCTTTAGTTCAGATAGACGTCTTTCATCCACCACTTAACGCCGAGCTACTTTTCAACGTAGAATACATACAATTGGCGCGTAAAACTTTACCAAAATACCGATTCTCCGAGGGTAAATATGCAGATATTAATGACGATATTAAACGTGTAGACTGGGCAAGTATTTTAGAGGTGCCGTCCTTAGACACTGCCACCAACCACTTTTATGAAGAGATATATGAAATCATTAGGAAACACGTACCTTTACGCCCAATCAAATCTAAAAAGTTTCCAATATGGTTTACACGCCCACTAATACACATATTTAAAAATAAAGAAAAATCATGGATAAAGTGGAAAAAAATTTCTAACCAAGTAGATTATGAGGAATACTCTGTAGTACTTCGAAAAAGATTTAAACAACTTTCCACGCAGTGCTTTAATTCATATTTAAGTAAAATTGAAACAAGTTTGCAGAAAGACATCAAAGTATTTTGGTCTTTTGTAAAAAATAAAAAAAATTTGGTATTCCCAACGTAATGTCTCACGGTGGAAATGAAACCGATAATCCTGAGAACATATGTGAATTTTTTTCTAACTATTTTACTTCAGTTTATGAGAACAGCTCACAGATGACGTACGACATAGATTCACTTCCTTGCTCATCAAACACTAACTTTATTATCTCAGATATATCATTTTCAAAAAACACAATAGAACAATGTCTAAAAAACTTAGATATAACTAAAAGTTCAGGACCAGACGGTATCTCACCTTTTTCCTCAAACATACTGCTAGCTCAATAAGCGTACCTCTGTTCTATTTGTATAACCGCAGTTTGCGTGAAGGTTTAGTGCCCACAGTCTGGAAATCTGCGAATATAACCCCAGTGTTTAAAAACGGTTCTAAAACTGACGTCACTAATTATAGACCTATTTCCTTACTTTCTGCCTTATCAAAAGTCCTTGAACGCTTAATACATAATTCAATTTATCCGAGTTTACACAACTTACTAATTCCAGAACAACATGGTTTCGTAAAACACCGATCGACCATCAGTAATCTTATTTTATATACAAACTTTCTGTTTGATAATATGAACAATCGAATACAAACTGATACCGTTTACACAGACTTTTGTAAAGCTTTTGATAAAGTGGATCATTCCATCCTTCTTCAAAAACTTGCGTTCAATGGTATACGTGGAAACTTATTGGGGTGGTTCTCCTCATACATTATTAATAGGACCCAAAAAGTTGTGGTCAATGGATTCTCCTCTAGCGAAAAATTAGTATCCTCAGGTGTACCACAGGGATCTATACTAGGTCCGATGCTCTTCACATTGTATATAAATGATATTCAGTCTTGTTTTATAAATAGTAATTTTTTGTTGTATGCAGATGACCCGAAAGTTTATCGAAGTGTAAAGTCCCTTAATGATTGTGTGAAGCTACAGGAAGATCTTGACCGGTTATCTAACTACTGTCTAATCAATAAACTGCAATTAAGCATCCCTAAATGTATATCTATTTCTTTCACCAAAAACGTAAAAACCTACAATTACATATATTCCCTTCTTAACAGTCCCTTAGAAAAAGTATCGTTAATAAAAGATTTAGGCATCCTTTACGATTCAAATCTAACCTTTAATGCTCATATCAGCCATGTAACAAATAAAGCGTATCAAATGTACGGAATTGTTACACGAACGTGTAATTTTTTTAAAAGCTCCTCATCTTATTTACTACTTTTCAAATCACTTAATAGACCACAAATTGAATATGCAACGCAAGTATGGAACCCCTATTATAATAAATACGGTGAACTTCTAGAATCATTACAAGCGAAGTTTCTTCGTTTTATAAATTATAAATGTTACCACGCTAAATCATCGTATCGTAACTTATTAAAAAAGTTTTCAATTCATACTTTAAAAGCAAGAAGAATGTACTTTGATCTAATACTATTATTCAAAATAATTCGAAATGATTTACATTGTAGTGAACTACTAAACAAAATATATATCCGTGTCCCTAGTCGTTCTCAACGCACTAGAGACGTGTATACACATAAATTGTTTGCGCCTAAACTATGTAAAACCAATGCAGGTGAACGCGCCCCATTAAGACGTATTATGAAAGTATATAACATGCATTTTTCAAATATTGATCTATTCACTTCATCACAGTTACAATTTCGCAAGAACGTTCTAAGAAAGTTGGTAGATATTCAATAGTATCTTTAAATATTTTACAAGATAAATTAGTACTGCTAGCAATTTTTTTTAATTATTTTTTTCCTTTTGTCTCATTTTGATTTTTATGTTACTGAGTACTGTCAATTTTATTTTATTTTCCCTTTTTCACTTATACTCCGTTTATTGTGCATTTATTATTTACTGTTACCAATTTAATATTACTTTGTGGATAACGGTGCTGGTGACATAATGACTAATATTATTTATATAATGTTGTTTGGTTTAAGTATTATTATGTAATTGTTTGTTGTCCTGAATAAATTAAAAAAAAATTATTTATTAGTAATTTTATTCTCATTCCTTGGTTCTCTTTGCACGCTCTCTAAAAATTCTAAAAACAATTTCCGCGGGCCAAAATTGATCCTCATCATTCAAAAAAAGATCAGCTTTGTGAAGCCGCAGTGTGATTTTAAAGGAATTAAAACTATTCTCGTACGTATTAATTTTAGTAACTTCCGTTTTCAGTTGAGTCTTGCACTTAATAAAGCCAGCAATGTCATTCGCCGTACTATCTCTGTGTACTCGTTATATGTAGGGATAAGGTTCTTTCTGCTGCTTTGAAATTAAATTCGCTTATTGGATGCGCTTTTCCTTTTCTACACTCTAGTCTCTTTTGACGTTACTCGTTACTGTAGTCCAGTTCCCCTCTTTTATCGGTTATAGTGTTAGAACGTGCGAATTGTTTATCATTGTGTTCAGAAACTGTTTAATAAATCGCAATCAAGCGCAAATTTAGGACTCAAGTCAGAACCGTCCGCTACTTTAGCATAACTCGGCTGACTGGACATTTTTTTAAGAATTTGTACCGGTGGACTGTAGGACAGATTTATTGTTCGCTGCGCTTTGCGACGCCGTGGGCGAGCACAGAGATCTCTCTATGGTCTTTGGTGGATGCACAAAAACTGTATACAAATAAATACAAATACGTAATATACCAAAAATAAAGTCTGGCATAACACACTCTTCTGAGGGA